TCCTTTTTCTTTTATATAAAGAATCTTCCATGGAGACCTACATGTTTTAAATTATTTAGCCTGTCAAGCAAATTAGACCACCTATAAGGAGAGAGTTTAAGAAAAAAAAAATATTCATAAAATCTGAGCTTGTAAACTACATCTAAAACATAAGTACACTCTCACTTAGGAATACAATTTGTTAAGCAGTTGAGAACTTGAAACTTTTTTTTTTTTTTTTTGTAGAAACATAGTGATAAGGCATAAAGGTCAGTACACAAAATCCATTTAATCCTAATGTACATGAAGCACAGAACATACTGAAACCCAATCACCATGTAGGTCATAGTTTCTATGGGGAAAATGATTTTAGAATTGTGTATTAAAAGCCAGAAATCCATCTCTTCTAGCTACAATGGGATCACAATTATGCCTCCCATTCTAAAGTGTATAGTAGGAAGAACTCTCTCATTCCTGACTTTAGTGGCAGCTCCAGCAGCCAGTGGGCCTGCAAAAGCATAGGTAGCATGGAGGATTGGCAGACGTCTTTAAACCTTTGTAAAGATGAGGACATCTTACTAATATCACCTCACCAGAGACCCCCCTGGGTCTGTGTTGGTTCCAAAATCACCCTTTTTCTTTTATCCCAGCAGGCTCTGGGGGCTGCCCCTTTCATTATCAGCATCTGGGGTTTACAACCAGGCCGTCTTTTTCCCCTTGTCTGTATGGAACAGAACAGGGTGTGTTAGTTTCTCTCCACCTTCCTGATACAAAAGGCAAGTCCACAGCCCTTCTGAAGTTTTTGTTCATTGGTTTATCTTTTTAATGGAGGGAAGGGGAAATAGAGATTAAAAATAAGCCCCTTTCTATTTCTCTCCCTACTCGATTTTTACCCAAAGCTAGTAGGAAAAAACAATCACATACGTAGTGTTGGGTCTTTGGGTATGCAAATAATAATAATAAATAATAAAGATTCACTCTCTTCTCAAAGAAAAAAAACAAAAAACAACATCAGATGATCCTTAGCATTCTATGAGTTAACCTACCGTAGCCTATAAAAGGGAGAAGATAGCAGGATATGAGAAGAAAAAAAACAATCAGTGTCTGGGAAATGGGGTAATTGATGTCAAGGGAGAGAAATGTGGCTGAGGATGCTGTCAAAGTACACAACCGTCCCCAGAGAACTGCAGAAGATGTGCCCACAGGTTACTATGTTTTCTCTCCTCTAGATTTCTACATCCCAGATCACAGCTGATTGGGTAAAATTGGGAAGAAAGGGGGAAAGCAGCCCCACAGAATCTGCAGAAGACAGCCATGAAGATTAGCAGAAGCTTTTGAGGAACGAGGCATTCCTGTGGCCATGCAGACTTTAATGTGGGGCGTTCGCTCCCTGGTGGCCCTTTGTATGTGAGGGTCAGACTGGAGTTATACAGAAAGCGCTCCACATGCCTTTACATTATGGCTTCTACTAAGAACCACTAACTCCTAATTCACAGAGAATTACCACTGTCATTCTATTCCATGATCTGAGTATTCTGCAGACAGAAAAGTAAGGTAATCCTCAGAATTCACACACAGAAAATTATTTTAAACCAATAAACGGTCCTCATTAGAAAATGAAGGAAAGGTACAAATGTGAAATGTGCATAAACGTGTCTTTCCCTCTGGTCTTACTCTTCTTGGACTCCTTTCCCATGAAGAAAGGGGCAAGGGCCTGATAGAAGATACCTAATGGAAGTGGATGGACTGGCCTGGCCATCACCAAGGGACTGGGGCTGAGCTGCAGGAGGTGGTCTGGGACCCTACAAATGCATCCTCATGTAACCCATGCACTAGGGAAACATATACACACTTCCCAGTAACGGACTTTCACAATGAACCAGTTTGCCAACCTTTCAACTCCTTTTCTGAACCCCTTTCCTTGCATTGTGCCTGGTTCCTAAACACTTACAGTCCTCAAGGACCCTGTTGGCCCACCATTCCTACTCTCTCTAAAACTTCCCTCCCTCTTCCTATTACCCATTCAAGGCTTCCCTAACACACATGGCAGTGTTAGACATTATTCTTAACAGCTGATTACAGCAAATAACACCAAGGAGTGTTAATGGAGGGGTCATAGAAATTTCAAATGGAAGGAGAAGGTTGCTATGCATATTTGAACTGAGCCTTCAGGGATTCAAGGCAACTCCAGTTCACAAGAGTACCTAATTAATTGTTTCCCTAATTTCACCTTCAGGAGAAGGGAAAGCCCTTGCATGTGGCTCTTCAGTCACTGCAAGAACCTAAGATCCCTCCAGAGAGAAATAAAAGGAGGGAAGAAAATGCAAGAGAAAAACCTTTGTTCCTCTCAGATCTCACAATACAATGGAGTGGGTGTGGCCGCTCCCCATTGCAGCTTGGAGAGGTTAAGTCCTATGATTAGTCATGACTAAGAGAGATATATAAATCTATAAGGTGTAATATATATGACTAAGATATATATGTCCATAAGGTGTATCTATGTGCGTGTATGTATATGTATAGACGTATATATGTGTATGTCTATGTACATATATACGTGCATATATACATATATGTCTATGCATATATGTCTATGCATATATATGTCTATATATACACACATAGATATACCTTATGGATATATATTAGTCATATACACAGCTTATATATGTATACATATACATACATGTGCACGCACGCATGTATACACATACCTATATGTATGCAAACATGTATATATACATACATGTACATACATATGTATATATACCAACATGTATATATGTATATATGTACGCATGTATATATGTCTATATATACACATACACACACATAGATACACCTTATGGATAGCCATCAAATATATGTGCCATGTACCAAATCATGTAATTGATTTTACTAAATATACTTTTTATCAAGTGAATACTGATACTAATAAAATGGAAGTGAATATCTTTTGTTAAATTGCCTTTGAAACTACCAATTAAATTCATTTTGTTTGGCAGTATCATTTTTTTAAAAAAAACATAATAAACATAATGTCTGAATTGCCTGTCTAGTCAGCTATTTACAATAAGGTTCCCTACTCATAGATGAAAATGAGATCATTGTCCCAGTGAAAAAAGAACAACCTCAAAGCCTCTTATCCTCTCTTAAACTCAATCTTATCTTCAGCATATTAATTCCCAGAACTATGTTCTCCTCTAAATTCTACGAAATCAGGGCTACTGGTTTCTTCAGGAGACATCAAAAATTTGGAGAGCTAAGCTTCTGCCAATTGGCAAAAGCAGCTTTCAATCAGCTACCTGAATTCTTTTGGGAGACTGGAGGCATCACTATTTCCAAAAACCATAGTGCTAAATCAACAGGAAGATTACAGGCATTCGGAATCAAGTTCTCAGACTGCGGTCTTCAGTTTTTCTCGAAAGCTGCTTATAAAAGAAGGACTGTGTGAAACTTTGATATTTACATCAAGTCACAACTAAGGGGCAGGTTTGCAAAATCAATTGTGCAGCTTTTATACTCACTGCACATTTACCACATATGTCCTTTATTACACAGTGGAAAACCATTAAATGCACAGTAGTTTTGCCAAGTGGCATTATGCATTTAACAGCTTTATTCGTTTAACAGCTCCAACTCTCATTATATTTTGCCATGTGGTACATGGGATTTTATGCATTTAACAGTTTAAGACGGCTCTATGGTATTTTCTTTTCATGTATTTCATAGTATGGTTGGACATCATGTCTTAGCAAGCTGTATTTCACTGATTTCATTGATGAGAGAAAGTCAGAGTAATCTGGAAAAATTACTACACTGAAATTGAAAGGGAAACAAACATTTTAATCCCTTTCCAAGTTCCCTGATATTCTACTCTCCTCCTTTTATCAACATCTGAAAATAACCTACATCAGGTTAAAACTTCAGGTAAAAAAGGCTAACCCTGTACTCTATAGTTAATCTAAACATAACATTTAACTATAGTTTGATTTTTTTCAGTTTTAAAAACTTAATTTTTATTGAAAACCTTCTTGCTTAATAGAAATACAATACTCAGTCACTTCCTTTCTTTATAGCACACAACAGAAGATTTGTTAGGGAGATCATCAACCATTTTATTATTTACATATGCAGGGATGAAAACATTTGTCATACAAGGACACAGTGGAAATCAAGCTCAGAATCCAAGGACTCTCAAAATCACGCTTTAACTAACTTTTGTTTCCTCCACTCTGCATTAGGTGTTCGCCCTAGGTATAAATAAGTAAGCATGCAACTCAAACTAACCTAGGATTCTAGGTTTGGGCAGAAGTTGTCCCTTTAAATGAAGAATTGAAGCAGACAGTAGATCCCATCAACTGTTGCTGCTTTCAGAAATAAAAAACCTAAGCATCTGTCTGCTCGTTTCCCCAGAGCATTCCATTCTCCACAATCCCAGCACTCTGAAAAATTTTACTGGATAAGCTTCTATGTTTCTCTGTTAAAAGATTTTAGCACTTACTCTGCACTCCCCACGTGTTTTCTCCTGAAAAAAACAACTGTATTCTGTACATAAAAGAAACACCTGACATCAAAAGGTGTCTCTGGGCCTGGGGAAAAGTGGTTATTATAACAGAGTCAGCCATTCCCCTTGTGGGAACAGGAGAGGTGATGAGACTTGGCTAAAACTTGGTCTCAGAAAGGTACTGTTATATACATTCTAAGTTTTGTTCATATAAATATATATAAAGGGAGAGAAACAAAAGAGTACATTGCAGTGTTTAGAATAAGGAGAGAAATCATTCGAGGCTAATTTTTTTTAATCTTAAAAAAAAAAAAAAAAGATCGGGTTTTGGCTTCATCTCTGTTTTGAACTCCAATGGGAATAAAAGCAAACTAGAGTAAAAGGCAGAACATGACAGGTTTCTTGGGGGTTATTATTGTTATTATTATTATAGGAACAGATGTATTTTTATTGGTGGGGGAAGGAGAAGGGTCTAATTCCAGCCCTCGATTTTGCTCTTTTAAAAACCACTCACCTGACTTTTATTTGCAGCCACTTTGGCAAACAGGGCTTGAGACACCTTGGCCCTTTTCATCTCCTGTTGGATCTCGTCATAAATGGCAGCTGTGATGTTGACGTTGGCGCCGTCCACCTTAATAGGGAGGTCTGTTGTCGGTGTCGAGGTTTTGGCCTACCAAGAGACCATGAAAATAATAATTTAAAAAGTGCTGCATTCAGCCCAGCCATCTGTGCAGAAATTATCAAAGGATTTCAGTCAGCTGATGCCAAACTGCATTAGCTACAGAGGGACACTTCCTGTCCATTATTCTAATCAGGTTAATTGTGATTGGAAATAATTGCAGTGCATTCCTATAGGACATGCAGAATCCTGTCAACCCTGTTTTCTCACAGTATCTCAGACGAAGGTTCACAGGTAGGATGGCTCTCCTAGACACCAAACTATAAGCAACCATCTAACAACAAAACAAACATGCAGAACACACACACAGTTAACCTTTTCTTTCTAAAAATGGCACACCTTGGAAGAAGAGCCAATTCTTCCAGAAAAAAAAAAAAAATGAGTAAATGGGTAGAGGTCTCTAAATAATAAATTATTACTCAATTTAATGCACTCCCGAGTCTCTCTCATTCTTTATTAAAGCTTTACGTATGTCATTCGAGTATGTATGGTTTCCCATCATTATCATCATTATGCTACCCAGACAGTCACCTAATTTCACCTAGGAAATCAGTGGAAATGAAACAAAATTTCATTTCATAAAACTAGGCTCCAGAATGCCTTTGATGTGCCGTTTTCATTTTCTTAAACTCATATTGTGGTTTTATGTATTCTGCAGTGCTCGTTTTAATTGAATGATTTCCCATCAGCTTCAGAGACAAATGAAGGACAATATAGAAGGTGTCTGTACTTCTTGGGGTTAGGATAACCCTAAAATGTCTGAATCTACTTAATCCAAAAGATGGTCATCACATTTACTTGGTGTGGGCCCTAGAATGCATTGCTGGTGTCTAATAAGAGAGGACTGAGACATTTTGTTGGAACCTCCGGCAGCAAGACTTCAGGAAAAGACATTCTTGATCCTTGTGCACTACCAGCTGAACTGACCTAACCTGGGTTTTTTCTCCTTGTCCAGAGAAAGATGTAACAGGCAGTGTGGACTCTGTGACAAATGGTGTCTAGAGGCAGAACTTAAGGCCCTACGTTTCCATAAAGGCTTTGCTTCCTAACAGTGTTCAGTGACTTCTGCCATTTTTCTTGTACCTCCTTCTCTCATACTATTTTCTAATTACCACAAAGCAGTAATTACTATAATTTATGGTGTGCTTTTTATGGGCCAGGTACTCCAGAAAGCATTTTAACTTCTGTTTTCACATTTAATTCTTTTAAGATTCCAATGAGTTAGACATTATTATTTTCATCTTACAAATGAAGAAACTGAAATAAAAGAGGATTTTAACCTAGGACACCCAGCAGCCAGTGAAGGAACCATGATCTGAACGCAACTCTTTCAGGCTCAAAAGCATGGGGTCAGGACACTGCACTACACACCGCCTCCAAAATCTCCAATTTGTGCCAGGTGCTGTTACAAGAATTTCCTTGCTAGGTTGGGACTTTCCCATTAAAAATCCAATTCTCTGTAATTTTTTAAAAAAAACTCTTTGTTCTGCTCAAAATTTCTAGTTAACCCACAGTGCTTTCCCTGTTAAGAGAACGTTTTAGCATAGCATGTCTGCCCTTTCTCAATTCAGTTTTCTTAATTTGCCTCACTCACTATCTCATCCCACCTGACTGGTCAAGTCTTCTCTAGAACCATGAGGGCTAAGATGAAACCCCTCAGCCATGTGACCTTACACAAGTTACCGAATCCATCTAAACCTCAGTTCCCTCATCTGTAAAATGGGTGTAACACCATAAAACGGTGACAATTGAATTCATGCAAAATGTTCACAATACCTAATACACAGTAAGCATTTTAAAAAATGATCATTCTTATCTCAGTATTGCTTTGTCATTATTAAGTACAGCACGGAATGCTGAACTGAATAAATAAAAAGAGACTGCAGGTATAATTTCAAAACTGAAATTTCTCCAATTTGTTTTTCAGCTACTAATAAAGTATAGATGGGGTCTGGAAAATAATCTCCCTGCATCAATGTCAAGCTGCCTGTGTACACTAAATTGCTGACTCCAACTAAAAAGCTGAGTCAGTGAGTACTCCTCTAATACTTGTTCCCACAATAAAATCTGTACCGTATTATGATCTTTACTGTTGAGATATGCCTGTGAAGAATTTTAAGTCGGTAATCATGAAATGTTTTAAAAGACTTTAATAAACTCTCCTTTCTCAATTTTTACCCAAGAGAAAAAGAAGACAATTCTAGAGAATGTACAAATGCAATGCCATGACTGTATTCTCAAAAACATGTTTAAATATTTATTTTTAAAAATATCAAAACTGTGAAATTAAATAAGAGATTTCCCTGCTACACCTATCCCTAAAGGACATCTTAATGAATTTTCTAGATGGCATTCTGGTCAAAATAAGCAAAATACTGACCCTAACTGTGTGGCCTTGTAAGTCGGTCTGGCACTGAAAGCTATTAGGTCTTTGAAAAGGTGCCTACGATACATAATCCTGTTGGGAAAATAGTACAAAAGAGCTGAAAACAAACACACAGACCTCTGTTAATTTCTAACAAGTAGAAGTAACTTTCTAAGAACTGCCTTGTTAAAAGGCCATGAAGTATGGCTGGGCTCTTCTATAATGGTTTAATGGACTTCGAAAGTGGCAAACATATTGATGCATTTAGCAGAAGTAAATATTAGCGCACATTAACAACTTGCCCAACTTACTAGCTCAGTATGTATGCCCTCAGATTTTTTTTTAAATAAATAAAAATGCTTGGTTATACTCATCCAAAGTAAGCAGTCAAGAGACTTATTTTTGGTTTAAACAGTAACTAAAACTCATAATTCACTAAAGATTGAAGTGTAAGTAACACAATTTGGCAGTGAATGATAGAAAGTAATCTTCAATTAAAAGTTTATTGCAGAGTATAAAAATATAAAAAGAGTTAAAATGTGTGAAAAAATGGATATACTTGAAAAAGCTCAAATATTTCTACTAGAATACAATTGTGCTTCTATGCTTAATCAGTTCCTTAGAATCTATCAGAAAACACAAAACCGAAGCTATAATATCTAAGCAAAACAACCTTTGGTTTTGAACCGCCCATTTTTCAGATTTGTATAAATGTATATCCATTAGGTCGGGCATGGTGGCTCACGCCTGTAATCCCAGCACTTTGCAAGGCCAAGGTGGGCGGATTACTTGAGGTCAGGAGTTTGAGACCAGCATGGCCAACATGGTGAAACGCCGCCTCTACTAAAAATACAAAAAAATTAGCCTGATGTGGTAGCATGTGCCTGTAATCCCAGCTACTTGGGAGGTCGAGGCAGGAGAATCACTTAAACCTGAGAAGCAGAGGTTGCAGTAAGCCGTGATCACACCACTGTACTTCAGCCTGGGCAACAAAGTGAGACTCCTTCTCAAAAACAAACGAACAAAAATGTATACCCATTAAATATTGGTTTTGAGAATTATCACTCAGACAGAATCTGCAACTATCATAGCAACAGTGAATGGACTGGCCTTATCATAAATCTATCGAGTAGTAAAAGTTTAGGGGAAGTAGGGGATAGGCCAGAAATGAGTAGGCTTGGATGTGAACTAGAAATGACCCAACTGCCTTGAGATCTTGACCCTTGAGTTAGGAGCTTTGACGCACACATTACTAGATGTATACACTTGCACGAGGGCCTAAGAAAAGAATACTTTTCAAGTGTGTGGAGAGGAAGAATGGAAGTCACCAAATTCTGTGGGGAGATGATCCTAGGATGGAAAATAATTAAGGCCTACCTTTCCACCATCATTTTCTAAAGGATCATTGAGTGACATCTCAGTCATTCTGATCTAGACACTGCATATGCATGCTTCCACTGCAAGTGTTCCTCCATTTTGTCTTTTTCAGATTACACAAAACAGAGCTTAAACTACCCTCTGCCCCTGCCCTCAGCCACCCTACGCCCCATCCAGCCCAACCAAATAAACATACAATTTAAGGGAAAGCAGTGTGCTTGCTATGCAAACTCAGCTTCAACACAAATGTCCTAACTCCTTCTTCAGCAACTGAGCAGCTACATATAAATATCCTAGAGCCAGCCCCTGTGCCCACTCCTACCTTCCCACCCCTCACATACCACTATGGAAGAATGGAACTTCCTAAAGGGACAGAAATAGAGTATGGGATCATATATGGTCAGAGGTTCATATCCTTTGACTAACACGTTTAGCGGATTAAGAAGTCCTTGAATTGGCCAGGCGTGGTGGCTCACGCCTATAATCCCAGCACTTCGGGAGACCAAGGCAGGTGGATCACCTGAGGTGAGGAGTTCGAGACTAGCCTGGCCAACATGGTGAAACCCCATCTCTACTAAAAATACAAAAATTAGCCGGGCATGGTGGTGGGTGCCTGTAATGTCAGCTACTTGGGAGGCTGGGGCAGGAGAATTGCTTGAACCCAGGAAGCAGAGGCTGCAGTAAGCCAAGATCACACTACTGTACTCCAGCCTGTGCAACAGAGCAAGACTCCATCTCAAAAAAATAAAAAAATAAGAAAAGAAAAAAAGGAAAGAAATCCTTGAATTATGTCTCTCAGTATTCGAGGGAAAACACAGTAACTAGTGAAGGCAAGATATTTCCAAGACAAAGAGTGAAAAATCCAGAGAGCAAGTTTCTCACCTGAGGGGTTCGGGAGGAGCTGGGACTGCTGGAGGCCGAGGAGACCATGCTCACATTGGGATTCATGCTCCGCTCCCTCTCGTCCTGGTAGATGCGATCTCGCTCCACTTCTGGCAGATTGAGGAAATTCTGCATGGCCCTCAGGTTTACTAGAAGAGACTGAGAGGCTGTCCGAGGGTCTTCTTCCTTACGCAGAATCTCAGACAATAATCCCTGATTAAATGGGGGAAAAAAAATAGACCGAGTCACATTTGCAGGTATATGTGTGTAGTTTCTGTCTTCTGCCCCTCTCCCCCTTTGTTTGGTTTAACCAGCTCGCTGTGATGTCAAGAACCTCACACTAATTCCTTAGGGTTCTCCGGTATGAAGGCAATGTGCTTGCCTTCCGGGGGATATGCATTATTTTAGGACTGTTCTATTCTGACACTTTATCATCACTGTAATAATCATCGGTGTACAGACATGCCAGCTAGCAAGGTAGGCACTCGGGAAGAATTGTGAAACTGCAATTACCACCAGGTGCCTCCTACAAGTATTTCAGGAACTGTTAGAACTCTCTCTGCTTGAAACTGGGAACACTTGGCAGTCCTGCTTAGCTTTACAAATCTGCCAAGTTTGGTAAATTTAGTTTCGACATTTAAACAGCATGGTAGATTTACATCAATTTTTAAAAAAATTGGCTGAATTTCTGTATGACCGGCCACTGTTTTCAATATAGAAATTTCTTATGGCAAAAAAAAAAAAAAAAAAAAGACACAAAGCAAATGGCTAAATTGTGTTAACCCTCTGATAATTTCCCAATCCATACACACAATAGTTATCCTTACATATGTACAAAGGGCACCCAAATCTTTTATGAGATGTCTTCATGGGGGAAACCCTAATCTCACCATTAAAGCAATGAAAATGAAGTCACCTCTGGCGAGGGGCTGAGCACACCATAACAACAGTGTGCATGGAATGCTATGATGGGCCCAGATACTTTCTGAATGTGTGACTCACCCAAATAGAAAGATTTAAATAGGAAATTAGTGTTTTCATGTGCTCTGATGACAGAGAATTCACAAAGAAAGGGAAAATGCTGCCAAGTCTAGAGAAGAGTAGTATGGACTCCAGAAAAAGGCTGGAGATCTAAGGTGGGACATTGTAGTATTGTGGGTAGGTGCAGATCTATTTCCATTCTGCACACTTGTTGGATTATCACACAGAGACATCACTTTATATTCCCAACTAATATATTGCTTCTCAGAGCAGTATAAGAACAGAGTTCAGGATTATCCCCCTGGGAAGAGCTGAGATGTTAATCCCAAGTCTTAGAACAGATGGGCCAACTCAAATCATGAAAAGTCATTTCTTTAACTGTAGTAAAGTAGAACAGATGCCAAAGACGTTTCCACTCAGGTGAAAATTAATGCAAAGGAAACACTATCAGATTTCTAATATGTGGCTTAAATATGAAAAGGCAATGAATGTAAGAGGAATATGCTATCTCTAGTTGTCCAAAAATCTTCAAGGAAAGGTAGGTAATGTTTTAAAATAAAGCAATGCATTAAAATATAGTGAAGCAAATGCCAGTTATAGGAAGTGCATCACATAGCACTCCAAGGAAGCAATCACCACTCAGAACATCACATAGTCAATTTTACTACAAGGAACTTACAAGCACTATATCATCTGACAGTTTCACAATTTCAGTGTCATGTTACTTTGATTAGAGAAATTCTAATACTTGGTAGAAAAGCTACAGATCAGTGTCTTGTGTGTGTGTCTGTGTCTGTGTGTGTGCATGCATGCATGCCCAAAGAAGGGGAAAAGGTAGGATGTGTATGTAAAAATAACTGACTGGCACATGATTCTTAATCCAGATTTCTTGTCATGCTTCTAGAAGCAATGAGTGAGACACTTATCTTCCAGAAAACGTGATACAATCTAGGTATCCACTCTCTGAAATTAAAAGTCAGTTCTGCCTAAAGCTATCCTACTTTCTACTTGCACTAAGCAACCTGAAATATTCATAATGAATTTGTTTTGAAGATACAAATCTTCAAATGAATATGCAGAGAAGCAAGAGCAAAGTGGATTTCAACTTTCAATACCAGTAAAAAACACTAAGATTGATATTTTTTGAGTTTCCTTTAATGATAAATTCTGCATATAAAGGATGAGTTGGTCTTTCTCCTCTCTCTCCCTCCTTCCTCTCCCTTTCACTCTCATAAATTTGGTATTTCAATAAATTTCAAATTACTAAAACTTGAAGAAGTTTTAGGGTCAACACGGAAAAATTTTTTAGTTATTACGATTATACTCAAGAGATCTCAAAGGCAAAGTTTATAAACCTATTCTTCCCCTGTGAAATTATTTTAACAAGTTGTGGAGTTTATTATAGCAAAGATTTTGGATACAAAATAGTGACATAACAAAACTATTGTTCTAACAGACCATGGCTCAAAATTATGTTTGTTCATTCATAATCAATAAAAAGCATTAAAAATCACAGAGTGTTTTAATTTGTTTCTTGTTTGTTTCTTTCCATTTTGAAACTGTATAGCTCCTTCTACATTTTTTACATACTGGACAACCTTGCAGGGAAACTAATCCATCTCCAAGGAAAATTATTATGAAGAATCCTTGAGAATGACTGCTCATCCATTTCTGAGGTGAAAGAGACACAATATTTGTATTTTTAAAGGGTGGTGGAATATACTGTTTCCTCTGTTTCATTTGCCTAATTGAAGATAAAGTCTCAAACCAACAAGGTAGCCAGTGTCACCTCCATATATTAACCCCAGAGAATCAGAACACTGCTTTAAATTATTTACTAAAACTCTCATCTGTGTAGGTATGGTCCCAAAGCGTGTTCTTTTCACCTCAGACATTTTCAATAACAAGTGGCTCACTGGTGGGCACAAGAAGAGTTTTAGTTGTTTTGTTGAGTCTTTTTCACTTGAGTTATTTACGTGCTTTCAACTATTTAAACTGGGATTTTCAAAAAATGTAGTCCAAATTCTTCAGGCTCATAAATGGAAAGTGAGTCTCTTTCATTAGTTGAAAATCATCAGAGGAGAAAAAGATCAGAAGAAAATAGACAGCATAACTTTCATACACCACATATCACCCCACCTAATTATCAAGATAAGTAAATGTTTATCATATTGAAACTGTCTTGAATAGAACATAAATTAATAATTTATCTCACATAAATATTTCTAAAGCCCTTGCCACTATGTCATCTGGCATTTTAATTATCAACCAGCCAAGCTGGAGGTGTCACTTGGACATTCCCATTATGCAGCCTGGGATACAGAAAATGTGGCACGGCACCTGGGCACTGAAAAAAAGATGCACTTTTATGAATAGAAAGGTCATGAATATTGAGAATGTGCAAATGGAGGGAAATTAATAAATTAACCAGGATATAGCTTATTAAACTTTCATATCAGTAATCATATTAAAATATATTGCAAGTATCGAGTAAAGTGATCATTAAGTATTTTCCTCATCGTAGGCAACAGAACCTTCTCCAGGGACACATTAAAACAATTTCCTCCACAGTGTTAGCTGAGATTATGTAAGACCAGGAAACATGTTGACTAAAAGGAGCAGAACGAACATATGCACAGGGTAGAGAGATACCCTCCAAAATAATTCTTGGGTTACAAGTCAGTGGAAAAAGAAGGAAGTCAGGTAAAGAGAACCTCAAATTGGCTTTTTCCATAACCTAATTAACATTTTGTAGACTTCATATAATTTCCAGGACCACCAAAGAATACATGAGTTTGGCAAAATATTCACTAAAAGCAAAATAATTCAAAGTACAAAATGAGCAATAACTTATTATAATGCCATCTAGCTTGCTCATAATTTGGCTTGCTTGCTACCTCTACAGAGACAACAAATAATTGGGGCTAATTGTTTGATGAAAACTTAGTGCTCTTATTTTTTCTAATATTTTAAAATATCTCTTTATAACAAATTAAATGACCTTTACAGATTCTGAGTCTGTACTTTCTGTCAATGAGCTTTTGATTTCCATACTTCCTTAACAATTTATATAGTTGGCCCCAAATTGTTAACGTGTACGATATATGCTGATACTCAGAGAAGCTGGGAAATGTTATCACGACAGGCTCTATCAAATTTACTTCCAAGGTTTTGCACTAGCCTTTGACAGCTTGTCTGGGACAGGTGAGAAATTACCTCTGATGGGTCTTTAACCCTGTAAGAGAGCAATAAGAGAACCCACACCTGGGCCAGGTTTAGGAATGCTGAGCCTGCCATGTCACTCCTGACAGCAACAGTTAAAGTCCTTACTGACTAGATTTTAACAGATATCTGTTCTTCGTGGCTCTCAGACCATAGGCAACTCTCTAGGATTAGGCTATATCTCTCATGGATTACCTCGGGAGCCCCTAAATCCAATATCTCCCATTGATTATCTAGGGAATCCCCAAATTCAATATACCTTGTCTCAAAAAAATAACAGATCAGTCTATTAATTCATTTCTTATTTTTGATTGAATACAAAGTTCTGAGAGGGATGAATAGATTTAATAAGAGACAGATTCTGCTTCCCAGGAGTTTACCATACGATGGGAAGGAGAAGGTATTATAGCAGCACAATGTTAAAGATGTCAAGCATCATCAACGCAAGCCAGAACTAGTGTCACCTTGGCTCAAAGGAGGGAGAAAGTATTATCAACTGCAGGATCCAGGGAAAAATAATTGGAAGAGGTAAGACTTAACCTAGCTGGAACTTTAAATACAGACAGTACAGGGATATAAAGTTACGATGAATATTGGGCAGCCTGTGAAACTGTGCAGTTTTAGAACATTTGAAGAAAGAGAAACCACATGCTTACTCCAGAATACCAAGACAACCTGTTTCCTTAAAAGCTGTAAAATAAAGTGCAAAAACTAATAAAGTGGTAGAACATATTTTGAAGCAAAAATATAATAAGAGTCCACATTAATATGATTCTGAACTATTGGAGTATACACAAGCTAACCAGCAAACATTAACCCCCAAAATGAAGTGATATTAGATAATCTGTTCAGCCTTTTTGTCACCTGCAACAAATTAGGCTTTCAATATGCAAAACATCTTCCTTCCAGAAAAACAAATGATCACGATTCCATTTAATTGTAACTTAATGAGGCATAATTTATTTTTTAAAGTGATATACACCAGGTGTGTACTGAGGAAACTGGCCCAG